GAGTGAGGGAGGTCATTAAGTGTGAAATAAACAGGGATGTGAGGGGTTTTGGACAAACAGATGCCCTTAGGTGCAAAAAGCATGTTGTATGTAAACAGATAATGAACAGTTGGTGTAAGTTTCAGGTGTGCTTGGGGTTAATGTAGCGATTGTTATATGCTGGGTGTGACAGAGGCTGATAATGTAACGCAGGTTGGCTGTCAACAAACTCTCTTTGTATCGTTCTACAAAACACTTTCCAGAAGAAAAATGTGGGATGTTGTGCAAAATGTAAACAACGACATAAGTCAATATTTAAATCACTTAGAAAAAAAGTGGAGGCATCCAAGGACAACAAACCTATCACTTAAACAAAAAAAATGTGTCAGTGCAATCCTTTGCATGTTTTTGTTTCTGCTATTTCTGTATCTCATCCGTCACCTTATTGTGTCCCCAGAAACACATCAGTTTTATTTTGGAATGTTTTAGCTTTTGACGCATTTTTCTTTTTATTTCTGTTGTTTCATTCAACTTTTGCTGTTTTTTTTCTACTTCCGTTGTGTTTTATTCAACTTATGTTGTGTTTTGTGTGCTTTTTCAATGTTTTGTTGCAGTCCATTTGACCTCTCAAGGCCACCATAGAAAGTTCAATTCTCAAGACTTTATAAGCCATCTATTAACCATGAAATACATGTGGGTAGATATCAAAAGACATCTTGAAATGGGTGAACTCACAATGTAATACACATCCAGATCGGATCTATCTGCTAGTGCAGTTGCAAATACAAATTAGACTCCTGGAAAAAGAAAATTGACTTCATATAGAAGTCAGATACTGCATCGAGAAAGTTTCAAAATCTTTAAAAAGGAAATACAATGTAAAGATATTTACTGTTGCCTTAGGATACATTTTAATATAAACAGTAATAATAATAGTAAATGTTGTCATAATAAAGTTTGTCTGTCCAAAAACAAATAGTATGGTATACTCTGTAAAGGTTTACGGAGTGCTGTAAATGACCTTAGAAGAGTTGACCTAGCAGTGTAGCAGACTTCATTGGCGTCTCCTGTCTCCTGACAGTCTGACAGGACTGATGTCAGCAAAGAGCCATTGGTGTGTTCAGACGCAAACTCTGAGTCTCCTCCAGACTCCAACCGCAGACCATCTACAAATCAATAACAATACATTACAATACACTGTCAGCTACTGTCAGTAAGTCATGCTAAGTGAACAAGTAATTCTGACTGCAACTATTACCTTCTGGACTGTGAGATTCACTATCTTTCTCATTTTCATTCAGGTCGGAAACAGAGGCCACCTGCAGTATCTGGTGTGGAAAAGAACATTTTGAAGATAAAGGAGAAGAAATTTCTTTAAACAAAATTATAAATGAAAGTGTAACAAAAGAAATACACATCCTGAAGCTTGAAGAAAATAAAAGAAGAAATATCAATAAACAGAGAGCCATTTGTTTAATCATCATCTATGGATCAAGTTGGTGGGTAGACTTTCCACTGATTGCAACACCAAACTTACAGAATGTTACAGTTCTGGAAAAAGTCAATTTTCATGCTTACCAGTTGTGCAAATGTTGTCACTTTTAATCGTTTGAAGATTTCATCTTTTCGATACCTGTAATCTTAAATGGAAAGAAAACAAATGCATGAATCTAATATATATGCAATGCTGAAAACCATCACAGTCTTGATGATAGCTGCTTTTTTTGAATAACCCTTGAAGATGAACGTAAATGCTTCCTGTGAAGTCTAATGTAATTGATAAGTGTGAACAAAAGAGTATAACAGCACTTTTAGCCACTGCGTGCAGCCTTAGTAGATCAAATTCACCTGGGTCTATCAGGTCCTGTATTTCTTTATCCCCTTCCATTGCTTCACAGAGGCTACGTCCACACTGGACCGGATAGATTTGAAAACGGCGTTTTCGTCTGAAAACGGCCCGCATCCACACTAGTGTTTTCAGTCGTTTTCACAGAGTTGTGCGTCCACATTGAAACGGCTGAAAACGCTTACATTCCAGTACTGCCCATGCGTGAAACGCAAGACGATTCAGCCTGCCTCATTTCTGTTTGCCATTTATTTACTTTCCAGCTCTTTGAAATGTTGCGGCAAAATGTTGAGGAAAAGCACCAAGTTTTTTTTAAATGGACTAACAATGAGGTGGAGTTGTTGCTGTGAGTGACACAAAAGTACAAAGTTGTAAAAGCGAGTGAGAGTTAAAGAATTTGAAGAAAAGCTATCTGGAGCATGTACAAACTGATATTAATCTTTAATAGGGCTGTCAAAATTGAGAGCAAACAAAACAACTGCTGTATAATGCCCTCCGCTATCTTAGTTAAATTGGCCACATGACTGCATCACATGACTAAAATGTGTCATCATTTTCAAAAAGTCTTCGTTTTTGCTGTCCACACTGCGACACAAAAGCACCGTCTTCAAATGTATGCGTTTTCGAGAGCATTTTCAAAATTCTGCATTTTCCTTCAGCGAAAACGCCATCTCAGTGTGGACGGGAGGCCAAAACGGAGAGAAAAAGATGCATTTTCAAATGAAAAAACACATTAGTGTGGATGTAGCCAGAGCCACAACTCTAACGTGTCTGTTCCCATTTTACCTTACCACTAAAGCTACCACCCCAGCGCTCAAATCAAACTGCTCAGCCTGTTTTTATCAGTGAAGCTAATGCTGCCATTCAGACCTCAGTAATTCACACTCTGACAAAAGACCCTTGCTAGCACCTTGCCAGTATGTCCCTTAAGACTGGGTTCAGTCCCGCAGAGGAAAAAATGTGAACAGTGGTACGATCTGCTTCAGAGAATGGAGGGATCAGAGTCTCTTATCCCTGAGAAATCAGAAGGAAAAAAAATCACTGTCCACAAATTTGATTTATTAAACTGGGATATATCAATAGGTTAGCAGCTCACTCTTTTACCTTTTGACAGTACACAGCGAGCAAGGAGACACCCATTGATTATTAAGAAATTAGGAGTGCCAGGTTGGGAAATCTTGCCTTGAATGTACAGTAAACAGGTCTTGTGCACTTAAGGAAAGTGCATGGATCTTAGAGTTCTGCCAAGGTGTGCTATTTGAGCCACGTTTTCACTTTATAAAGAAAAGACCTCATTTGTAAGTTGCCAGAAGGCTGAACTGATGTTACATGACCAATAGTCTAAAGTAGCAGGCTAGCAGACCAGTGGGCAGAACAACTGTTTTGTACTACTTGGGTCAAAAATGTTGCCATTGTCAAGTATCTTTTAGGAAGACACTGAAACTGTAAAAAGAATCGATTTTTATTGTAACTGGTGAGAAAGATAAAGTATAGATCTCGGTTATAGAAAATAAAAGAGTAAGGAATAAGTATAGTTGGTTATCTCCTAAGAGAGCTGTTATTTTTGATGCAACTGTGTGGGAGGTGGCACAAGGGGGCGGTACATTAAACAGGGATTTTGTACTATTATGACCAGCTGCCTGGAGGAAAAGATGTTTTGTGTTTCGCTTAGGCCCAGTGGAGTAAGCAGGTGCACACCTCAGTCCATGAGGGTGTTGGCGTGCAGAGTACTTGTGTGCAGGAACACTGACATGTGAGTTTTAGGACTGAGAGTGACTGGTAGTCATTAAGAAGCCAGATAAATGTATCAGAGCATTAATGATCCACGTTTGATACCTTTTTGTTGTTCTTTTATTGGGTGTTTGTTTGTCCAGAAAGGCTTTTGCATGGATGCTTGTTTTCATGGTTTGCAGTCAAAAGGATCACATATGGAATCCTTCAGAGTGCTTTTAATATTGATGCACACTGCTACACAGTTAAATTTGGTTCATGTTTTATGAGAATGCTTATAAGGATACTGCAAGCACGAAATTCTTAAAGACAGGTTACTCACTTTTTTTAATCTCCTCCAGTCTTTCCATATACTTCGTGAGACTACATCCTGGGAAATAAACCGTGACATTAACATGTATAAGGAAGTTAAAGAGCATACAAACTGTGTGTCAAAATAAGCTACGCAGTCACGTAAATCTTGCACATGTACCTGTGTCAAGCCTCGTTTTCACATGCTCATACTTTGCGTTTTTCGGTATCTTTTTCTTCAAGTACTGCAGGGAGAAAAGAACGACACGTTAGCGTTAGCTGTGATAGCTTAAACGCAAATCGTACAGTCTAGAATAAAGAGCACCTTTTCAATAGTAGTGAGTAATCTAGCTAATGCTGTCATTTTAACAGGTGCACTACCGTTGATATGGTAACACTGTCACCAATAAAGCCGACTAGCTACCTCTTTTGAAGGGCTACATTAGTTTTTGTTGCTCATGCTGTAGCCGCATTAAGTTACTGGATTTTTCGACAGTGCAGTAATGCCACTTAGCGTGTAAATAAAACAACCAGTGCTGTTTTTCTTCCCCAACGTTACCTCTGCGCTGCCGATGCTTCGATTCAGCGACATCTTTTTAAACCGCAATATCAAAAGTCCAGTTTCAAGGTTAACAATCTCAGTTTTGATTGGTCAATGTTTTTTCACCGACCAATCAGGTAAGGTTATACTCTGGCACTCTGTCGACATAGTGGTTTGGCTAGTTGCTTAGCAGCCAAAGACGCTCCACCCATGACATGGCGCGTTCGCGTCTCGTTATTTTAGGTTAAAAGCGCAACACAATTACAGTTTGCAGAATATTTCCGTGGTTTGTGAATTTGGTATGTTCTACCCGATATTTTTACGCAGTCTTTCCTCTTTGTTGTTTAACAGAATATGCTATGCTCGTTTTTTTATATTTGTACGACATATAATTACAGTAAGCCCTTAAATCCTTAATATGACACCAGAGTTTGAATAGAATAATTCAGTAATAATAGCAATACTATTTTGTTCACTTTGAGTGATTTTTCTGTATTTGTGAATGGTTTCTGTGCTTAAGTATTATCTTGTAAAGATGGTTTCCAGTGAAGATTTTTACGTTTACCATTTTAACATGTGTCATGAATGCAACACCAGTCTTTGCTACAGAACACGGGTTGTTTTTTGTTTTCGTTTTAGCTTCACGCTGCAGATGAAAGGTGCAATTCTGTTATGCGTTTAACGAAACTCATTGTTTATTTTTGACCTCGGAAACCATAAAGTACGACGTGAATTCAGCTTACTGAAAAAAAGTGTTGAGCTATTATATCTGAGTTCGATAAGCCAGGTCTGAACGAGTTGCTGGACGCGCAGTGCTGTGTTGACAGTCATGGAGGTGCAGATGAGCGGGTTAGTTCAAATTTCCTTCAGACAACTTTAGCACTTTTACTCAACACACACAATGGCGTCTGTTATGGTAAGTATATTTGTTTTAAAACTTACGTTAAAAGAAATGTGCGAAACTTTGTGTACATAACGTCATATGGCGCTAATATTAGCCGAGTCGGCAAGTTTCTTTTAGCTACGTCTGCTAAGAGGATTTACTGATTGGGCTGTCACACGGGGTCCTCTATATTAACTTATTAAAGCATCGCTTACACCTGTCTTTCTTCAGCTTCGCCAAGCGTAATGTTTGTAGTGTCAGACGACCACGCAACAGAGCAGGGAAGTAAAGACTACCACGCGTATCCAGCAGTAGACTTGAGTCTGAGCAAGTTGGCCCTAACGACACGAAAAGAGTGAAAGTGTTCATGAAGCAGAGCAACGCCAGAGTGTCATTCGAAAATCAAAGTCAAATGTTTTACTATAATCGCTGAGTTTTCCTAGTTTGAAGAAGTCAGAATTGGTTTATTCTTCACACAGCCTACTTTCCTGTCAAGATGATTTTTTTTAAACAATGCACGCAGATTTTTCTACACTAATTGAGCATTGTAATTGAAGGAGGATCCTACGTTGGAAAGGCACTTTAAGGGACACAAAGATGCTGTCACTTGTGCGGACTTCAATCCGAACCGCAAACAACTGGGTAACCCTTACTTTTCAAATGCAGACATGCTTTTAACATCATGCATATATTTGCTCTAGTCTTGTGTCATTCTTTTGACCTTGAAATAACGTTATAAAAAAGAGAAAGAGCATGTTGACATTGCTAGGTATTTTCCATTTTTATTGATAATATTTGAACTAAAATGAACAGATTTAAGCTATTTTTAGAACTAGGCAAGTAATATTGAAACCACCTATCCTGTGTTCCAAAAAGGGTTGTTTTAATGGGTGGACATTTAACCTGCATGTGTCCAATTTTTCCAATGCTTTTGCATTATTTCTCTAACAAAGGCCATCTGTACTGATTGTACTGATGGGAGTTTTATGATCTATTTTTTGTTTGAAATGTCTCCATGTGTCTTTGTTACCTTTTGTCCCTCCAGCCTCAGGGTCATTAGATAAAAACTTGATGATATGGAATTTGGCTCCCAAAGCGAGGGCCTTTCAATTTGTTGGGCACCAGGATGTGATCACTGGGGTGCAATTCTCTCCATCTGGCAATCTGGTGGCTTCTTCTTCCAAGGACAGAACAGTCAGACTGTGGACACCTTCAATGTAAGCATCAGTCACTTTATCCAGGACATGTTTAACCTGTGAATTAAAACTTGGTCCAATAACATGCAGTTTGGTGTATAAATTAATGTCTTACAAAGATTTGGCAACAAAAATAAAATGGCTGTATTTGGTTATTTTATGTGCATCTCATAGGAAAGGCGAGTCGACAGTGTTCAAAGCCCACACAGCTGCTGTACGCAGTGTTGCCTTCTCCCATGATGGCCAGAGACTGGTGACAGCATCAGATGACAAGTCTGTTAAAGTGTGGAGTGTTCACCGGCAGTGCTTCATCTACTCCCTCAATCAGCACACTAACTGGGTGCGCCGTGCTAGGTACCAAAGAGCACATAAATCCCTATAGTCTATTTTCATGCAGTTGTGTTATAACTTACTTGACATTTGGTTTGTATGTTTGTGCTCATTTGAATTTCCAATATAGTCAAAGAAGTTAATATGTTACATAGAGTTGTGATCAAAAGTTTACATACAGCTCATTGGCATAAATCTCAGCAAACCTTTTAGTTTTTTAAGAGATTTCTTTGAACTGTTCTTTTTCCCAATCCACTCAGGGTTAGAGAAGACCAATATTTATTTGAATGTCATTCAGAAAGTTGCACATCAACCAGATATTTTTGGTAGTCATCAACAAAGATGTTTCACCACTCTTCCTGAGTTCATTTAAATTGCTTGTTTTTTTGGCACAGACCTGGATTTTTAGGGGAAGGTGACAACTTTTCAGTGGTGTGAGGTCGTGACTTAATGTTGGCCTGCTTTATCCATTCCAAAACCAGCTTTGTTGTGTGTTTGCAATCATTTTCCTGTTGGAATACCTAATTGCGGAGTTGCAGAAATTGGAGGTAGCCCTCCTTCTTCATTTTTTTACTTTTATCTACTTTTTGCAGTCTAAGAGTACAACCGGCAGCAAAATGGCCCCATAGCAGGATGATACCAGCACCATGCTTGTGCCAAATTGTTTGAACTGAGGATTTTGGAATCTGCAGTTGTGTAGAAATGGATCCATGACATTCTCATTGGATCTTAACTTGGACTTTTCCCATTGTTCTTAATATTGATCAGTTCAATAAGTGCTGTCAAAAAAGTCCAGTTGTAGTTAATAGGTAAGTTAATAGGTTTTGGTCTTTTTAAGTTAGAAAACATTGTAGAACCTTCAGCATCCCCTTATTAAAATATTTAAGTGATTGGGTGTATATATTTGAGCCTGTATGTGTACTTCTGTACACTTAAAAATGAATCCAAAATAAATGTATACCCAGTTCTTGTTTTTTGCCTTAATTTAATCTGTTTGATGTACAATCATTCCACCCTGGAAAAAGAACAGTTCAAAGCAGACATTAAAAACCCAGAATTGAGAGTATTGAGAAAAAAAATTGAGCAAACGTCTGATCATAACTGTATAAACAACTCACTCATCAACTGATAGTTTGTAACTATATGAGTGTGAAACAGCACAGTACTGCAAAAAGTGGATTTGGACTTTTTCTGTATTATCGTTGTGTGTTTATTTCCTGTAGATTTTCTCCGGATGGCAGAATCATAGCTTCCTGTGGGGATGACCGGACCGTCCGGCTTTGGGACACATCTACCAAACACTGCATCAACTGTTTGACCGACTGTGGAGGGTAAAATCGCTCCAAAAACTGATCTAGTGTTCTATTTTCTCAATATGTTTCATATAAGTTTTGTGCATCAGTTACTTGAAATTCAAAATGCAATCCGTTGTGTTAATACAGTCACATTTTCTCTTTGACAAATTTTGCGCATACACTTTTCAAAAATGTATTAAGCTGCATATTTTTCTTAATGAAGAGATATCCCGATTTGAGGATATTGGTTGTGTTTGAAAATTTAGAAGCTGGATTGTAAAGTGGTGAAAGGCCAGAACATCACTAGATGTAATTTGATGTGAAAACTAACTCACCTACTTTTGCTCTCCTATTGATGGCCACTGATTGACTTCTTTTTTTTTGTTTTTGTTTTTTAAACCCCAGATCAGCGACATTTGTCGATTTCAACTCCAGTGGTACCTGTATTGCATCGTCAGGAGCTGACAGTACTTTGAAAATCTGGGATTTACGGACCAACAAGCTTATTCAGCATTATCGTGGTACGATAATGCTTTTTTTTCATCTTGTGTAAACAAGTGTCTGAAATATCCTACAGTTAAGACTTTAATTGCATTCCTAGATTACTAGGTATACAATTAATTCACCTAATTTAAGTTTTCATTTAAAATTCAATTATATATGTGTATATTTGTGGTTGTGGCTTATTTTTTTTGTACAATTGGATCAGTTCATAGTGCAGGAATCAACAGTTTTTCCTTCCACCCATCCAACAACTATGTGATAAGTGGTTCGAATGATGGCACTATTAAGATATTGGACCTGTTGGAAGGGCGTCTGATCTACACTCTTCATGGGCACAAGGTGATGCTTAAAGAAATGTCCACTTTATTAGTTCTTCATAGTGTTTGATTGTAGTCTTTGACATTCTTTAATATATTTTATTAGGGTGCTGTGATCACTGTGGCCTTTTCCAGGGCTGGAGATGTCTTTGCCTCAGGAGGAGCTGACAGTCAGGTTCTGCACGATGACTAAACAATGAATTACCCAAATCATGCGAGGTCATATCTTTACTGTTGGAAAATGTGCTGAATTTGGGTCATGTGGTTGCATCTTGGTTGCTTAGGTGCTGCTGTGGAAGACTAACTTTGACAGCAGGTCATATCAAGATGTCTTACTTCAACACAGCCGGAGGTCGACACCAGATCCCCCACCCCACCTGTCTGACATTCATCCCAGGGGACCACACCTTCATCACCCACAGCCTACACCCATTCAGGTCAGTCTTGTTTCACTTCATTAATACTAACGGACCATCAAAACTCTGTGCTATTAAACATTTTTTTAGGCATTTGCCATTTCAATATAAACAGCAGATGTAAACATTTAAAGATCGTACTTTGTTTGGAAGGCACAGTGCTTGCTGCTTAATTACATGTTTTGTTGCCAGGTCAGTCCAGCAGTAAAAGACACCAGATCAACTGAGCCACATGTCATACAGCTGGGACAGTCTGTCCATGGCAACATGGTAAGCTAATGCAGATTTCAACACATCTAAACCGTAGGATATTCAATCGGGTGTCTATGTAGATTATTATTTAGTGTGTGCATAAAAATGACTTGAAACACAAAAATATTGAAATACAGAAACAGCAATATTTAACTACTAAAGTTACTGATGAAAAATGTTCTTATAGTGTCTATGAGAACATTTTATAGACGACTTAAACTAATTCATACTTGTATCATTTGGAGTGGATGCTCGTATCACCACCAGGTGGCAGTGCAGACCAGTGTTTAGTTTTGAAATCCTGAAGCTTTTCTAAAACTTGCTTCAGCGGATGTTAAGGATGCTGTGATGTATATCATTGTTTTATTTATTTTTGCTTTGTGTTTACGATTAGAATGACTGTAAACTGTTCATAAACAGGCTGTAGTATAATGGTGCAGTGTACACAAATACTGTAAGTAGACAAAGTAGGTTAATATCATGATTAAAAATAAACTGTAGATTAGATGGAGGCTTCCTGATTGTGATGGCTGCATACCAGTTTGATAAGTGTGAAAATCATGGGCCAAAGTGAAATGTCTCCTCTTTTAATGTTTGTCTTAGGATTCCTCAATTCTGTTTACTTTCAGTCTGTTTGCCTCATAAATTATGGGACTTTAAAATAGAATAATGTTATCCAAATTTTGATTTTTGTCATTAATAACATACAGCCACTAGCTGTGTTTGCCATTCAGTGGTTCTGTCAGATACGTGGATACGTTTTTGTTTGCTGCAGGGCACTTTTAGCCACCATATATGTATCGCTCCACCTTTTTCAGCTGTCCTGTTTGCGTTTGTTTTTTTTCCCTCTCTTGTTAATCCCACTTTATTTTTTCATGTTTTTAGTCCTGTGATATATTGTTGTTTCGAGGCTCATGTGGGTCATTGACCAAGCCTTGAACTAGAGTAGAAAATCATGTATCAAGGTATCCACTTACTTCATAAACACACATCCGGCATAAATGGGAAGAAATGTTAATGAAGATGAGTAGTAATGCACATTTTCACAGAACTGAGACCGACTGATTTTGATTTGATTGTACGGCAAAATACCTCATCCACTGTTATGTCAAAGACTGCACAGTGCTTGATTTTAAATCGAGGCTTTAGATTATTGTGAGAATTGGATGTGGATTTCAAACAGAATAGTTTAAAGGCAGGAAATTTAATTTCTAGACTAGAATCCAAGAATATGACTCTTCCTCAATCTTCTGAATCCATTGCATGCATTATTATGCACTAGTTTTAATCACTGCACCATGATGTCACCCAAAATTTATACATGTACGTCAGTTTTATTTTTTTAATCGTTGCCAAAAATGGCAAGATGAATGAATGTCACACACAGACACAGCTTCCGACTTATTATCATATATCATCACTTTTCAGTGGCTTCTGCAGGTTGTCTTTACATGAATGCATGTGCATATTTATGGCAACTGAATGAGCATTTACAGTGTGTGAATGTGCTAGTGATTTCCCAGTTGTTTGTGTGTGTTTGTGGTTGTGCTCCAGGGGTTTGTACATGACATGAGTCACTAGTACTGTGTGTGTATAATGTGTGTGAGGGTCATTCCTGTTTAAATTGGTTCAGAGCAGGGAGCCCTCAGTGCTACTCCTCCTGTCAGCTCTCATCTCCTGATAGCCATCTCTTAGAAACCTCATCTTTTCTCCCCCTCTGCCTTGTCCTCTTTTCCTCTCGTCTTCCCTTCTGGTTAGTTTCTTTGGTCTCTCACTGTTGTAGATGTCCTCAGAGAGATTTCCCTTCCGCTCTGTGTCCATGTTTCCCCTTCATCGCCCTAATGGGCCCAAGTAAAAACGAAAATAGAGAGAACGAGAGAGAGAGAGAGAGACTGAGAGAAAACGACTGGGACATGCAAGTTGCCTGAGGTGGCTACATGGGTGGCCCCATGGGAAGGTTGCTATACTCTGGCCTTCCTGCTGCCATTGGTAACCTCCCTGTCTATAATTTAGGGCCATCTCCTCTTATCACTTGTGCTTTATTAGCTTTTTTGACTAATGGCCTTTAAACCTGCTAGTATTCACTTTGGTTTGCTTTTATTCTGAGTGTGTATTAGTTCCCTGGAGAGAATCTGACTGAGCTGCAAACATTCAAGTGTGAATAACATTGTTGTTTTCCCCTCTTTCGAAATATTTTTTTTAACTGGTAAAAATGTTTGTAGTTTTGCAAAAGTGTTTACAAAACTATACAATTCTGCATGATTACCTTCAGGATGTTTGTATGGAAGTGCAGGTGTCAGTAATGACATGACTCTCCTGGGGCATCAGCTGTTTTGTCTTCCTCTTTTACGTGACTAATTCTGAGCGCTGAGCTAGCAGCACTAGCAGGTTAAGGTTTTGAGCAAAAATTCAGTCAGAATCTGGGCCGTTCTCTGTTTTGTAGCAACTATCAGCTGACATTAAAAAAACTTTGATAGACACACCGGTTTCACAAAATGATGTATCTAATCATCATCAGCTGCCATCTGCTGGTTGTCTCTGTATGATTGAGGAGGCTATACGTATGAACATCTTGTTTCAAAGTTCTGTTTCTAACATGGTAACTTTATCCATTACGTTTCTGACTAAACGTGGAATTTGTTCAGGAACTGGGTCTCATATTTGTCTGGAAACCACAGAGGTCACTAAGAAGCCTCTGGTTTTGTTTGTTAATGGCCTCTTGTTTGTTAATGTGACAACATCTCTGTGGGAGTTAGAAAGTCTAATGAAACTGAATGATGCAGCTGAATAAAACCACTCATTTGTGCTATCCATTCTTGTCAGTTTATTTGAACTTCTCTTGCAACTACCTTGCATGGTGCAGCTGTATATTTTTACGTTTCTTTAAATGTAGCACAGTCCCTCCTTGCGTCTCTTATAGTTAAGTGGAAATACAGCACAAGATATTACATGGAGAGTTTTACCATCCCATTGAACAGATTCCAGTCAGCAGTAAAAGAAATACAATGAATGGCAAATGTTTTAAGAGTTAATCGAAACCAGAAGGTTTGATTTGGTTACTTGTGCCAACTCTAGTGTTCCTGCAGACGTTAGCATTACCAGTTTAAACAGACAAGGTGTCCTCTACTAACAGGCCTTCTACCATTGATCTGTGTGGGAATGTGCCTCTTTTGTGGCCATGTATGGTACACTTCTATGTGAATAAGTGTGCAGTATTGATAGTATGTTAATTTATAAGGAACATCTGTCAATTCTCAACATGTTGGCCATGTACATTTGTGTGATTGCATAGAACACAGAAGACCCCGCCTCTCTACAGTCCTCTCTGGCTTTCTGTGTAGGGGAAGTACAGGATATTGGATGGCCCGGAGGTTTAGATACCAGATTTAAGTGCTGTAGAGGAGAACACGAGTGACAAGACACGACGGAAATGAGCTAAAGATAGTAATGGGTGGAGGAGGGGTTCACTTTTCACCAGGACACAGACTCCCAGAGGCTGCATAACAGCCTCACATTCACACATACCCACACAGAAATACACACTGCTGCACTTGGGCAAATGTGCTCTTGTACACTTGGTCCAAGCACTTTCATTCATACTATATCCTCCCATAGTCTGTTTGGTTCACACTGTCTTTTACTCACATGGTTATGAAGGGATATACTGATAAAAATGCAGGAATATAGAACATTTATGCACCTAATATAAATTTACATGTAATGATTATTTGATTTGTGTGATTTTATGTAATTTAAGAACTACAGGTGTGCAAATTTTTGCCCCTTAGGTTGCAGTTTTCACATTTTTACAAAGCACTATTCATATGTAAACTAGCACTGTGTTTAAAATAAATTAGATGGCCTTCTGTTATTATCTGTTTTGGTTGAGTAAAACGGTCAAGTATATTGTCCAGTGTTTTTAAATACATAATGTATACAGGAGCATTCCTCTTAAGAGATGAGCTAAAAAGATTTAAAATTGTATACTGACCTGTTTTATGTGTTTATTAATTTTTATTTATTTTATTTATTAATTTTTATGTTTTGTTTTTAAATGCTGTTCTGTCTTCTAGTCAGTAAACCATTAATAGTCATAAAATTAAGGAGTCACATATTTAGCCTTGAGAGGCCAAATATGGGCAGCAGTCTCCCTAATGCAGCTCACAGAGTGGAGCACAGTCTGTGCAAGTGAAATATTACTTAAGGCTTCCTGAGCATATGACGACTCCATGCAGTCACAGCGGAACCCCTTCTTCAGACACTGTACACGTCACATAATGCTGCGAGACTCCCCATGGCGCTTCCAGTCTATCCGATGCTTGCATGTAAGTGTCCCAAAACTTGATCCTCCTCATCAAAAATACAAGAGAAGGGCAAGCCTTATTACTGATTCACAAGATTCTCTCTTCAGGTTCACATCTGTCCTTTTCCCCTCCTCTCCTCTTTCCCTCCTCCCTCTTTCCTTTTTCTGCTTGCCTTTAATCTCAACCTTGCGCAACACCGACTTACAGGAAGCACTTTGTGGTGTCCTCCAAACAAAGAAACATTTTTTTTTGTAACTCTTGATTGCTGTGTATAAAAATGGTGTTGCTTCTCTGTTTCTTAGATTAAATATGTTGCATAGCCACAATTATGGATAGCATTTACATGCTTTTGTCAAAAAGGCCACTGTGTAAACGGTCTGCTCACGCTTTAACTTGACGTTCTCTAAAACCTGTCTACTTGTAATGATCAGTTTACTGCTGTTTGTCAAACAGTTGTTTTCCAACATGAGCAGTTTGACAGATAGTGTGGCACTATGTGAATCACTGTCTATGTGGCTGAGCATGTACAGCTCCCAAGAAGAGGAGGAGACATTAACACTTTACTCTTACAACGTGAACCTTTTTTGACACTTTGCCTCCAATAAAGAAATCAACATTCTTTTTTTTTTTCTTCTTTTTTAAAAATATATACTCTTTGTACTCTTACATCAGATAATTTTCAGCTCTGTGTGCTTTTCATTGATTGGATGGGTC